CATTGCCATAGATTATCCTGAATGGGGACATTCCATTGGTGAGTTGAATGTTGTGTCATAGGCCCATAGCACTTTATCTAGCTTTGACGATCAGTCTTTGTAGTTTGGGTTAACCACCTTCTCAAGGATTTATTTAATTTCCCAGTTAGAGACTTCGACCATTCCATTGGTCTGGGGATGATATGCCGTGGCAATTTGATGATGCACCCTGTATCTTTTTAGCCTTCACAATTAATTTATTATCAAAGTGTGTGCCTTCAGCGTTGATAATAGATCGTGATGTTCCAAAATGCGTAAATATGTTTTTGTGCAATAATTTCAGTACTGTCTTGGAGTTGTTCTTGGAGTTTCCATGGCTTTTACCCACTTGGACACATAACCCACAACCAAGAGAATGTATAAGTCACCAAAATATGAGGGAAAAGGTCCAATAAAGTCAATCCCCATACATCAAAGAGTTCAACCTCCAAAATGTTTTGCCATGGCATCTCATTTCTCTTTGATATGTTCCCAGTGCGTTGGCATCGATCACATGACTTATAGAATTCATGTGCATCTTTGAACAATGTGGGCTAATAGAAGCCGGATTGAAGGACCTTTGTTGTAGTCCTCGTTCCACCAAAGTTTCCTCCATACGATGATGACTGCTAACGAAATAGAATTTCCTTGTGTTCTTCTTCTGGGACACACCTCCTGATTATTTGGTCACCACATTGCTTGATTAGGAATGGTTCATCCCAGTAATAGTGTCGTATATCATCTGTGAAAAATATAATTTTATCGTCTGGGAAATCCTCCTGAATATCCTTCATATCATGACAAATGATTTTGTTTTCTAGCCTAGACAAGTGAGCTGCTACTTGGTTTTTAGTACCATTTTATCTTTTACCTCTAAATCGAACTCTTGCAGTAATAATATCCATCTAATGAGCCTAGGATTTGCATATTTTTTATTAACTAAGTATTTAATGGCAGAGTGATCAGTATGCACAATGACCTTAGTCCCTATTAGGTATGACCTAAACTTATCGAATGTAAATACTACGACAAGAAGTTCTTTTTCAGTTGTGGTATAGTTCATATGTGTATCGTTTAAGGTACAACTAGCATAGTGGATGACATGAAAGATTTTATTTTTTTGTTGTCCTAGCACTGCCCCAACTGCATAATCACTAGAGTCACACATGAGCTTGAAAGGGATGTCCCAGTCTGGTGGAACAACAATTGGCACCAAGGCAAGTTTTTTCTTCAGATCTATAAAAGTATTCAAACAGTCATCATTAAACACAAATGGTTAATTTTGCTAAAGCAAAAAACACATAGGCTTTGAAATTTGACAAAAATCCTTTATGAATCGCCTATAAAATCATGCATGTCCGAGGAAACCACGTATGTCCTTTATAGTGGTGGGTGGAGGTAGATTCTCGATTACTTCCACCTTGGCTCTATCCACTGCAATGCCTTGATGAGAAATCTTGTGTCCCAACACAATTCCTTCAGTTACCATAAAATGGCATTTCTCCCAGTTTAGCACCAGGATGGATTCTTCACATCGCTTTAGCATTTTAGATAAGTTGTCGAGGCATCGGTCGAAGTCATCGCCTAAGATGGAGAAGTCTTCCATAAACATTTTCATGAAGTCTTTCACTATATTTGAGAAAATGGCCATCATAAACCTCTGAAAGGTTGCTGAAGCATTATATAGTCCAAACGGCATTCTTCTAAAGGCATAGGTACCATAGAGGCATGTGAAAATAATATCCTCCTGATCCTCCGGTGCTATGGCTATCTGATTTATCCAGAATATCCGTTAAGGAATCAATAAAATGCTTTTCTTGCTAACCTATCAAGTATTTATCAATGAAAGGTAGGGGAAAGTGATCTTTCTTTGTTGCTTTATTGAGCTTCCTGTAATCCATACATATCTGCCAGCCCGTGACTATTCTAGTGGTAAAAAGCTCATCATTCTCATTCTTAACCACGGTCACGCCGCCTTTCTTTGGTATGTATTGTACCAGACTGATCCATGAGCTATCAGATATTGGATAAATTACTCCAGCATCTAGCCATTTTATGATTTCCTTTATCACCACTTTTTTCATTATCGGGTTTAGTCTTCTTTCTGATTCCAAAAAATTTCCATGACTATCTTTTAAGTTGATCTTGTGCATACATATGGTAGGACTGATTCCCTTCAAGTCTGCCATAGTCCACCCGAGAGTTTTTTTGTGTTGCGACAAAAAATTTAACAAATTATCCTATTGTTTGGAGGTTAGACTAGCAGAAATTATCACTGGTAAAGTCTTATTACTACCTAGATAAGAATATTTCAAATTCGATGAAAAAGTTTTAAGTTCCAATATGGGTGCATGTTGTAATGATGATTTTGGGGGAATGAATTCATTGAAGTCCAAGGGTTCGAATCTCATACCTGGTATATCTTGAAGGAAGCTAGACTGTTTCTCCTTCACTAATTTATCCTAATAACCCACTTTGGTTTCATAATCAAGAAATCCATCATTTGCTTCAGTCGAAAAACTTTTGTCGAGGTAAAAGTTTTCACAATTTTCATTTAGAAAATTTTCGCTTGGGCCAAAATTTTTGTGTTCTTGCATCAGAAATTTTTTGTCTTGGCACAAAGTTTCATACTCATATATATGTAAAAATTCGCCTTGGCCAAGATTTTCTGCTCCATCTTCTTCAATTGATTCCATGTCTCCAGTGCAATGGCATTCTTCTGAATCATCAACATATTTAATAGAGTTGAAGAAATTGATTGCGACACTTTGATCTTATCATGAACTCTCCTTTCTCGCAGTCTATTAGGATTCATCCAATAGCTAAAAAGGGCCACCCAAGAATGATGGATGCATTTTCATCAGCCTCGCAGTCTAAAATGAGAAAGTCAACTGAAAACACAAACTTGTCCACTTTTACAGTGACATCTTCAATTATGCCATCGGGACGAACATATGATCGGCTAGCTAATTGTAAAATAATGGTTGTTAGGAAAGCGTTACACATTTTGAGTTTCAAAAATATGGACTTAGGCATCAAATTTACACTTGACCCTAAGTCGACAAGAGCTCGTCCCACAAAGTTGTCACCGATAGAACATGCCATCACGAAGTTGCCATGATCTTTTTTATTCGGTGGAAGTTTGCTTAATGCAAAGTAAATTTTTTTCACCGCGACAATATTTTCTATTCTTTATACTTTCCTCTTCTTCGTGACAATGTCCTTTAGGAATTTAGCATATGAAGGCATCTGCTCAATGGCTTCAAGCAATGGGACATTAATATACAGTTGGTCAAAGAAATCAACAAATTTCTTGAACTGAATCTCGTCGTTGTGCTTCTTCAACCGTTGGGGAAAGGGCGGTGGAGGTTTGAATTCATCTACTGTAGGTGGTGAGGAAACCTTTGACTTGGCAATAATTTCTCATTATCTGCTTGATGACTTTCTGAACCTTCATCCTCTTCCTCCTCCTCAAGCAATCCCTCTTGTTCAGCATTTTCAGCTTGATCCCCAGATTGTGTAGTGCCTTGGCGAGAATTTTCTGGTTTCTTCCCCCCAAACTTATCATTCTGATTAATTTGGGTACCACTCCTCAGTGTAAGTACACTACACTGCTCCTTTCCATGATGTTTAGTGACTTCAATATCAGTAAGGAGACTTCCTTGTGGGTGAGAATGTAATGCCATGGCAATTTGACCCACTTAGTTCTCCAATGCTCTCAAGGATGAACTATGGCTTTGTAACAAATTACCTTGGTTCTTAATTGTCGATGAGTGATCATGTATCAAGGTCTTTGTTGAAGCCATGAAATCTTTTTTCGATGGCATAAATTCATGCAAAAAAACCTCCAAGGAGTTAGAATTAGAGTTTGTATTAGAGAAAGAAGTCGTACATTTATTATGTTGCCAGGGCATCCGCTGTTGCTGAAAATGTTGATGTTCTGAATTATTTTGTTATGGCCTATTATAATTGCCTACATGGTTGTTGTTGTTAGTCCCTTGATTACCCCATGAAAAAATTGGATGTTGTCGCCATCCAGGATTGTATGTATTAGAGTAGGGGTTGTTGTTGCTTTTGTTGTAGTTTCCCATGAAATTTATGGATTCCTAGTTTTCTAGACACTCACTCTCATGATGGTTGTCGCAACAAATAATGCATACATCACTAGCTGTTTTGACTTCTCTCACCTTATTAGGACGCTGCAAATTTTTAACATATTAGTTATGGTAGAAAGTTGAGCAGATACTGAATCCTTACCTTCAATTTCATATGCTCCAGATACTTTTCTACCAATCCCAAGCCTTGTAGTCAGGAATTGATAGTCATTTTTCTCTATTATATCGAGGTTTCAAAGGCTTCCTCGGGTGATTTATCAAGCAAAGTACCATTCACTGAGGCATCCAATATCATTCGAGTAGGTGCATTGACTCCATTATAAAACATAACGACTTGAGTCTAGTCGTGGAATCCATGGTTCACTTGCGAAGCAAACTTTTATATCTTTCCCATCATTTGTACATGGATTCATCATCGCCTGACGAAAACTTTCAATGTCATTGCACAGCTGGGTGTTCATATTGGGTGTGTTGTATCAAAGTAGAAAGCTTTTACATAAATTTGTCCAAGATTCCATTGAGCCCGAAGGAAGTCCATTGAGCCAAGCTCTTGCTCGATCGTGTAAAGAATAAGGGAAAAGTTTAAGCTTCAGCACATCTTCATGCACTCCTTGTTGCTTGAACGAATCACACACTTCTAGGAAGGAACGAACATTATGTCTAGCATCCTCATTATACGAGCCACCAAATTAACCGATGGAGTTTAACATCACCGGTTTAAGTTCAAAATGGGTTTTCTATATTTCAGGTGCCACGATGCCAGGATTGAGATCGTCAAGAATCAGATTCAAGTGATCTCGTATTACTCGTGGTCTTGTAGCTTCTCTAGGAAGATTATTTGCTGTAAATTCGGGATCTTCTTGATCTCAGATATTGTTGTCTCCTTGATACTGTAGTCGATTCATATACTATCTGGCTCATTGGTTACGTCACCTTAGTCTGAATGACTGTTCGATCTCAGGGTAGGATGGTTCTAGTGGTTCACTAGTAGATCTCAGGGTCATGTAAAGACAAAAACCTTCAAAAAAAATTAAGAAAAAAGCAAGTTAAACTAACTAAATAAAATGTGACAGGAAATAAAAATTTGTTATGGAAAAAATTATCAAAATTTCGTCAATTGCCAATCCCCGGCAACGACTCCAAAAACTTGATTGCTTGTAAATGTATATGCTAAGGCAAGCAAATATGTGCAAGTGTACATAGTCAAATCAAGTAATAAAGGGTAAGTGAGTTATCATCTCCTCAGGGATTGGTAGGGATTTTGATGTTTTGCCACAGCTAGAACTAGGTGTCATGAGCTAGTCCCTGATTTTTTGTCAAAACGAAGAAACAATTAGTAATGGGTTATACGAACAGGTGGCAAAGTATTGTTGAAGCAAGATAATATTGTGAAGTGTGGTTGCAGAAAAGTATAGTCGAGACAAAGAAAGTATGCAAGAGCAATAAATAAAAATAGCCAAGGTAAATAAAAACGTTGATTCAAATATATTCCAAATAACCTCACATATTCAGACTTTTTCAAAAAGCACTTAGGTTGGTTTTGCTATGGTGATAAATTATTATAAGTCTAGAAGGATTTGTTATGATATGCTTAGGTTGCCCGACAGGATTACTGGAGTATTCTAGGACGATTGTTATGGCAATACTACTCGGCGTGAGCTACAACCCTTGGTTTGTTAGACTGTTGTTGCGGTAATATCTCTCAGCGTGAACTATAGTTGTTGTCTATCCTATTCAAGCATTTATCCCTTTTAGTTGATTGAAAACCTCTCCTTATCTCTAAGGTGGGTTTGAACATCACCATCCCGGATCTATTCCATTGTTCACGTAGATCTATCTTAATTCTCTTGAATCTAAGAATCAATTTCTAGAAAAACGAAAATCTCTCGAAATCTCTTACAAAGTCTAGAAATATTTCGTCTAGGAACCAGGCAATCTCTCGAAAGCTCTTACAGTGTCAAGGAAAAATGTTAAAATAATAAACAAAACAGACTAAGCAACATCATAATGCATCATTTATTAACCATCAAATAATCGTCTCAGCAAAACGAAAACCAACACCAAGTAAAACAAATCATGGTGTGGAAAAAGTATCATCCAGAATTATCATGTTTAAGTACACGCCCAAAATAGATTAAAGAAATTTAGAACAAAGGAGGAACAACTCCCAAACAGGGGCTCTGCCATGACAGCTTTGACCAGAACCACGCTTGCTCTGGCGGCTAGCCTCTCTCGAGGCCTGACCGCCCTCCATTATAGTCTGGATATGGAGGGAACCAACGACAATCGAGTTGGGGAATGGTGGAAGGTAAGGTACTGTAGTTGTTTACTTCAGGCCTAAGGTAAATCTTTTCCTTGCCTTCTCTTCTAGGTGGCTATCATGGGGGTATTTATAATGGGAATTCTTAGGGTTTTATGTCATTCACTACAAGAAAATATACCTTTAATGATACAAGAACGATGTCACACGCTAATTTATGACTTGCAAAATATATGTGTCATAAAAAATGTCATGTTTTTTAAAATCTGAACGATTTATGACTTACAATAATATGTGTCATATTTAATAGTCATAATCCAAAAAAATTACAAAAACACAGAGTACACTTTTAATTGTGTGTCATCTGTAAAAGTCGTATTTTAATTTTCCCCCTTATTTTTATCATTTCCCGCATCTTCCCCTCGATAACAAAGTTCACGCTGCTTGCTTCCCCCATTTTTCTCTTTTTCCCTTTTTCTATTTGCATTAGTCCACTGGGGTTCAAGAAATACTCCTTATGCTGCCGCATACGACTCCAGTTCATCATATCCTCCTTATCCACCACCAGTTCTTGAAGAGCCTTCATCTTCTTTTTTCTGAGAGTACGGTTTTACAACACTTTGTTGGTTGTAACTATTAATTATTATTGACTATCAATTCTTTATTTCCTTCTGCAGGCACAGACGATGATCTACTTCCAGCTATAGAAGGTCTCCAAATTTCGGGGGAAGCTTATCCAGGAAGGGAACTTCAGGCATGTGGACATTCTATCAATGGAACAACCAGCTGTAATTTTTGAGGTGTTCTTTCTGGATTTTCTTGCCCTCTATTTTAAGTTTTTAGGATTTTTGAACAATTATTTCTTTGATATTTTTGAAGAGGCTTTGGATTAGATAACATTCCTTTGGATTCTGTAGTATGAATATATAATCCAGTAATATGCTTGCCATGGCAGTGGGTGCGCCATATGGAAGATGGATCTGTTAATTATATTAATGGTAGTTGCTTATCCTTAATCTTTCTCTAGCTTCTCTTTCCATATAATCCCTGTTATTCATCGAATTTGTTTCTAAAGGAGTTTTGAAAAATAGGAGCAAAGCAACCAAATTATCTTGTTACTGTTGATGATGTTGATACATACCTTGCTATTGAATTCCAGCCTCTTGATAACAGGAATCGCAAGGTATTGACTTTACTTCAATGTTGTTTTCCATAACGGGCACCTAGTGCATTCATATGTAGTTTGTTATCCTTGGCTTTTATGTTCTTGCCTTTGTATATGGTTGAAGATTACTCTTGAAAAAAAATCTGATTTGAGTTTCGTAATCTAACTCTAAGGATAAAGAACTACGCTTGATCTATTTTCGATTTCGTTCCGAACACTTCCGAGTAAGTATAAAAATGAGAATCCTTTTTCTTTTTGAAGTGAAACAGTTGGGGTTTTATTATCAACGAAAATTGCTATTTTTCTTCTTCGTTTGGATGGTATAAAAAAGGTTTATTTTAGGGTTCTTTTCATTAATTCAAATATTTAGTGGAAGATTATATGGTTTCTGGTGTTTTGATTGGTTAGATTAGGGTTAGATCTGATCGGAGCTCCGTGTGAGAGGAACAAATAATTGCATACCTTAATTGGCATAAGATTTAAACAAACAATGAATTTGGGTATGTTTTAGAGAATCTGACATTGGATTTTAACTGTTCGAAGGGAGCAAATTTTATGTAGCTTATCTCACTAGTTTGAACTTGAAGTTAACCTGTGGACTTTTTGACAGGTTGTTTCTTAACTGAAAATCTATTATTTCCTTGTTACATTACTTTTTTCTCTGACGCTCGTATTCTGCAAAAGTATATATTCTGTATGCTATAAGAAGAAGTAATTGTTAACATTTGATTCTCATATGTTTTCAGTATCATAGTTCACTTGAATGCTTAGAAACTTAAATTTATGTCTCCTAGAAGCTTGTAGTTATTTTTATTTGAGGAATTTATTTGTTTATGGTGTTATGTAAGAAACTATATTCTTAATGCACTTTTTTTCTTTGTTCTGATCCTTCACCTTGAATGTAAGTCATATATGTTATTTTTGCTCAAAACCTATGATACTAAACATTCTATATTCTCCTCTTTAATGGTTTCTTCCTTCTTAACTTTGGGAATCCATTAGGAAGAGAGATGCTTGGATGGGATGGGCAGCTGCACTACGTAGTATTTAGTGGATAACCAATACTGATTTCTATAAAGTTTACCTGGCTGAATTATGGCATCTACAAGCCTAGGAAATGGAGGAGTGGGTAGTTCCAGATCTGTTAATGGTTTCAAAAGCTCGTATAGTTCTGTTGACTGGCTGGGGAGAGAAATGCTTGAAATGAGACTCAGAGACAAGGTGGACAATGATGAAGACAGAGTAAGAAGCTCAATCTTTAGTTCCTTAGTATTTCATTTCAGAACTTCTCAAGCAGCTTTACAATGGCCATGCTTATTGAGAATATAGTAGTTTGATACTGAAACCTTTAACGTAATTTTACAATCTCTGCAAGAGGCTTCTCTATTTGTAGATGATCCTTTATGTTTTATCCATGCAGGATAGTATGAAAGAGATCTCTTTTAATTACAATTATGGACCTGCATTGAGTCGATACATGGCTCTTTAAATTTGATATTTTGTTTTGCAGCTAAGTATGAAAGAGATGCTAAGAAGTATTGGGATCAGTTCTACAGGCGGCATCAAGATAAAGTTAGTCCTCTTGCAGTTTTGTTTAAGTTGTTTTCACCCCTTTTTATATCTACTAAGGTCATTGTTGAGATGTTGTGTTATTTCTTAAATGCACTACATCTACTCCCCAAACCCAAATTTTGGACTGGCTGTTAAATAATTTTAAATGCTATAATAGATACCTAAGGTTGAGGATCGAATGTTACTAAATTTCGGTTTAGTCTTTGTACTAGCAATGGTTGTGGCAAACATCAGGGTTCTTTTTGGGATCACTTCGAAAAGCTGTAACTTATATAGAACCACTGCTACAGGAATTTTATTATGTTCTTTGGTATAATGATTTTGAAATTGTTTAATTCCTATCGTTTCAGTTTTTTAAAGATCGACACTACCTGGACAAGGAATGGGATCAATACTTCTCTATGAGTCGAATCTAACTATTTTCTTCTCTTTGTTTTTGATTTTTTAATTCTTCAAGGTTATTTGTTTCCTTTTTTAACTATTTTTTTATTAAATCAGAGAAGCGGAAGAAAAGTTATTTTAGAGGTAAATCACTTAACATTTTCACTTACATATTATCCGTTCAATATCTATTTTGTGGTAAATAAATAGATTGCCTACTAATACTATTTTCCTGAGTTTAAATCCACAATAAGTTCTCTGTTAATGCTAGGTTATTTGGAAATGAACTTGTTTTAATTGAGTTCGAGTAAATGAGAATAGTGCTAACATTTCTGCTTTCCCTATGAATTCTTATTTTATTCCTCTAAATGGTCTGGTAATCTTATTGGAGATGCCCTTATTGTTGAAGTGAATGGTGTGGCAAACCTTGTTGAATGTTGGTCACTATATATGGTAGAACTTGACTTTATTGTTCCTTATAGTGTGTGTTAAGTAGTTCCCCTTCTTGTCTAAGGTTCTTAAATTCTCATGTAAGGTTTCTATATATTATAGAACTAATGTGACCTTGGTAATCAGGTTGGTTGTGGTGCTGGAAATGTTGTATTCCCTCTAATTGCTACATACCCAGAGGTTGATCTATGTTGTTCCGAGACTATGCTGTTGGTGACCTTGCTCAGGTTGATCTATGCATATATCGTTTAACACCATTTTAGTAAAATTAATGTGATAAGATCTTATAATCTGTTAGTATCTTCTTGTGATAATCTGAGAACATTCTTGGTTTTTTGTTTTCAAATAGGCAATAGGTGATGGATATTATGTTTGTAACTTAATGTGAATATATTGTATGCAAATGGATTACTTATATATAATATGAAATATATATTTAGTATTATGAGGCATTAAATGTGATTTAGTTTGATTATTTGTCAATCTACAATATATACATATATATATATATAACAATAATTTACGAAATACAATCATGACACAGGAATGTGTGTCATCTTTTTTAATGACTAGTGCTTCAATGACACGTAATGTAAGTCATATATGTGTGTCATCTTAATTTATGACGGGGGCTTCAATGATGCACAATGAGCGTCATAAATGTGTGTCGTAAATGCGCGTCATAAATGCGTGTCATAAATACGCGTCATAAATTCATGACGCATAATTGCGTGTCATAAATTTATGACGCACAATTGCGTGTCATCTGAGATTCATATCAATGGCTTAAACGACAAGCATTTGTGTGTCATTCGCACCCATAGATGACACGTAATGCACGTCATTAAAGGGGTTTTTTCTAGTAGTGATTGAATATTCCCTAAATACTCGTGTTGACTTACCCATGCTATATATAGAAAGGCGACAGGAGGTGGTCAATTTCTTGAAGGGCTTGATTGTACGTGAGGTTAATCCGACAGTTGGCAGGTGACATCAACAGTTTATCAGATCCGCGTCAGACTTGCAAGATAAATCTTGCCTTGTCAAGAAAAATATGTTCCTCACTGTCTTTGTCTTCTATGTTCCACTGGCCCTAGCGAAATGTTCTTCTTGGGTCATTTCTTGCACACACAGCCCACAAAAGCCCTTTATCCTCAGCATCATTAGTTAAGCCAAATAAATCTTGCCTAAGCAAAACTTATCCACCACATGCAAATATGACCTAAATGCAACTAATATGCTATGACAACAATGTTTAGGCAAAGAATAACTTAAGTAAAAAGACTAAAAACACATTTTTTATGGAGTTATGAAAGCCACTCGAAACAATGATGCTAAAACTACTGTTCAATTTCTAAAAATTACATTTTTTTTCCAGGTTTGGCACAATAAGAGCAATAATAAGTGACTAAGGAACACACTTCATCAATCGGGTAATTGATGCTCTTATGAAAAAACATGGGCTAACTCATAGAATTGCCTCGACTTATCATCTGTAAACAAATAGACAAGTGAAAATATCGAATCAATAAGTTAAGACAATTCTTGAAAAAATAGTCAAGTCAGATCGCAAAGATTGAAGCTTAAAATTAATTGATACCTTATGGGTGTACCAAATTGTATATAAAAGACCTATCGGCATGTCACCACATCACCTTGTATTCGGTAAGCCATGTAATTTTCCAGTCGAACTGGAGCACAAGGCAGATTGGGCTATAAAGCAATGTAACATGGAGTTAGAGCGGTAGGAGAAGCACTATACCCTTTCTCACATACCATTTTACCGTTCATTTTGAGACATGTTCACCATATACCTGCCACCGCCCCTATAGCCTTTCCCAATCTTTATTTTTCTTTCACTACGGGCCCTCTACTTTCCAATCCATTTTATCACTTATATCCCAACACTTATCTCCTCTTTTTAAATTTTAAATATCTTTTACCCCAAATATATTATCTCTATTTTTTAGTACCAATTTCACTCAAATTAAAACTCCATTCCCCACATGCAATTAAAAATACCAACCATTCATTTTTTATTCCCCAAATGGTTCACCCCATTGTCTCATTCTCCTCTTCTCTTTCTATCATCATCGCCAACCCTACAACCACTCTCCCCCGTGCTGCCATTTCTTTTAACCAGTTGTTCCTTCTCTTCATAATGTTTCATACAAGAAACCAACAAAACAACGACACCGCACCACCACCAAATGTCCTCGGTGGGCGTCGTCGGCTAAACTCGTTGGCTTTTGTTGAAGTGCCCAGTGATTCTAAGTTGTTTCCCTTCTCATCGCCTAGTGCGAGGATGAGGCCAAGCACCAAATAATCCACTCGTGTTGTACCATTTATCGTTCACACCGATCTTCTTCCTTCGCTCGGACCGAGTATTATTCATCATTACTCTCCGCCGTCTTTGTCATTCCAATCTATGCCAACTGTTTCCACCTCTTCCTCTTATCCACGATAGTCGACCTTCCCCTCATGTTCCATGCATTCAATGACATAAGACCATAATCCTGAGGTAAATTCCTCTCCTCTTTCAGTTCAACCATTACTAATGTGCCATCCCGTTTATGGTTTTATAAAGGATTTTGATGTTGGATTTCCACCGACGGAACAACCTGATCATGTTTCTAGTTCACGTCATCAACCTGGGCAGCCCACTTCTCCATTCCAATCATCCAGGCCAGACGATTTTCTTCCTCTTGATAGTCCACCGCCCGTTCATGAGAATCGAGAACATAACCGACATAGTCGATCGTATGATGTCCCTTCTAAATAAACTCTGCAAGGTTACTTACAGTTCGACAATGAGGAGTTAATGTGTTTTGAATCCGTAAAGCATCACCCTTTTCGTATAGGTAAATATATTTCGACTCAAACTTTGGAAACTTTACATTTACGAGAATCTGTACATGCTTCCATTGGTTGGACTTTAAATCCTATGATTAATTATGGCACATTTTATGAACTTGTCTTTGAATTTTATGCCACTTTCACTATTTCATAGCATCATCTTATTAATGCTACATCTCTCAATGTCATTATATTTCGGTTATGCGATCATCAATTTGGCATGTCTATTTTTTATTTTAATCTTGCTATAGGGTTCGTGACGGATGTCACGGATCATTAGTATATGACTGCTCTGCTTGAGATTCTGTAGGACTTTGATGCCAATATAGTATACGAGGCACTTACCAGATTGGTTGGTCATTCATTCAATGCATGCTCGACTCGAGCCCATCATATACATGACCGACATTATATTACATACATCGTTTCTTAGCTTACAATTACTCATACAAAAATTATTCTTCTTATTCCTTGAGTCGGGTTAACCTTTCCATTGATTTTTTTGTCTTGTTGAATGTTTTTAGTATGTCATGCTTGTTTGGGAACACATAATTGTTTAGGTTAAGATATTCATGATAACGGATAGCATGAGTTGTGATCAAGTTAGATTTTTTGTGATATTCCATGATTTTTTTGCTTGAAATGTGCTTAGCTCAATGCATGAAAATACTTCAGTGAGATTTGAGCCTTTACGAGCATATCATTTTGCTCTCATTTTGTTGGTTTAAGTGTCCAGAATTTGACATTGGTATTCTAGAACCTGCATTTTAAATACTGTCAAGATTACATACGAACATGATGGTTAAAAATGATTTGGGCACCTTAGGATTAACCACTCTGTTTTACCCACTAAATTGCCTAGCCATGCATTTCCCCTAATTAGCCACTCTTGAGTCTTTTCCCATTCTTTATTTTCTCCACATTTATAAACCCAAACCTTTTTATCCCTCTTTTCTACCCTTTTCAGGACAAGTGAACAATTTAT